ATATGAGAACAGGCGAAAAAGATCGTGGTCCAAGCGCGGTGAGCCGGTCCAAACGATCCCCAAGCCCGGATTAATGGCCAAGAAGGTTTTACTGTGTGTTTGGTGCGATTGGAAGGGAATCATCCACTATGAGCTGCTCCCATTGGGCCAATCATTCAATTCGGACCTACACTGTCAACAACTGACCAGATTGAAGTAGGCGATCGACGAGAAGCGGCCAGAATTGGCCAATAGGAAGGGTTGTGTTCCATCAAGACAATGCCAGGCCGCACACATCTTTGACGACGCGCCAGAAGCTCCGAGAGCTTGAATGGGAGATTATATCGCACCCGCCGTATAGCCCAAATCTGGCTCCAAGCGATTATCACCTTTTCAAGCAAAATTTTCTTGATGGTATAAAACTGGCCTCAAGAGAGGCTTGTGAAAATGAGCTGGTCAAATTTTTTACCAATAGGGACGAGGACTTCTTCAATCGCGAAATTATGAAATTGCCTTCAAAATGGACAAAAGTTATCGAACACGACGCATATTTGATCTAAATCCGATAATCCTAACTTTGTTAATTTCATCGTCGAAATAAAGAGAAAAAACGCTCAGAACTTTTTACTTCACCCAATATACATCTATATATATGTGTGTGTGTGTTAATAATCAACATCCTGCTTTATAGCGACATTAGATATAATACAAGGAATACGGCCGAACAATTTGATGGTGATATATTACGTTAACGAGGCAATATTTTTCATGTTTCAAAATTGTACGTGACATGCTGCAATGTCCGGTACAGTCTTTTATATACGATAAATGTTAGACGGCCTGATTGCGAAATCTGGCTTTATAAAGACCTCGGGGATAGATCGAGGAATAGGTTATAACAATTTGGTGCTGTTATATGACAGCAAAGAGGTAAAATATTTTTTCTTGTAACATGGTATTTCGCGGGACTCGCTGCGATGTTTCGTACGACATACGTTTTATTAATATATGATAAATTTTTGACGGTCGGAATGCAAAATCTGGCTCTGTAGGGACCTCGATAATAGTTCAAGGAATATTCTATATCAATTCGGCGGTTACATATATATTATGTCAACAAGGCGGAATATCTCTTCTTGTGAAGTTGTATTCGCATGATCCACTTTGACGCTTGATGCATCTTTATTTATTTATAATAAAAGTTAGACAGTCCGATTGCAAAATCTGGCTTTGTGAGGATCTTGGGAACAGTTTTAGATATATGCTATAACAATATGATGATGATATATTACATCAGTGAAGTAATATATCTCATTTTGTATTAGGTTGGTGCGTACGAAATGTCGGATTTTAAATGAATATATAAAACTGCATATCTTTTTTCAAAAGCTGTTTATTTAATCAAAATATGCTCCATTTACTTCAATACACTTTTCCCAACGAGATTTTAATGCATAGATGCCTGTCTTAAAGAAATTCTGATCTTTAGAATCAATAAACTCTGATATGCAATTTTTCAGATTGTCTTCATTTTCGTATTGTTTAGCCCGTAAAAACTGTTCTAAATGTTTAAAAAAATGAAAATCGGTTGGCGAAAGATCCGGTGAATAAGCTGGGTGCTGCAAAATTTAATATTTTAATTCATTTACTTTCGCAATTGTTTTGTATGACGTATGCGGCCGAGCGTTGTCGTGGAGAAGTATTGGGCCATGTCGATTAACAAGTGATGGGCGTATAATTTTCAATTTTTCATGCATTTCATCAATGTACTGGCAATACTTTTCGCCTGTAATTGTCTCTCCAGTTCGAAGGAATGAGTAGTGAATTACTGCAGTCACATTCCACTAAACTGTTATTAAAATTTTCCGTGGATGAAGTGATGGCCTTGGAGTATGAGCACAAGTCTCATTCCTATCAAGCCACCGAGCACACTTTTTCCTATTGTCGTAAAGAACCCATTTTTCATCACAAGTAATAATCCGATTGAAAAATGGCTCTCGATGAAATCGGGTTAGTAATGATGAGCATACGTTCAACCGATCCAGCTTATTTCGCTCGGTTAGTTCGTGCGGTACCCACTTATCCATTTTTTTCACCTTGCCAATTTCAAAAAGGTGTCGCAATATTGTTGTATGGTCAACTTTCATTCTGGTAGCAAGTTCCCTTGTAGATACAGTTGGATTCGTTTCCACCAATGCTTTCAGAGCATCATTTTTTACAGACGTTTTGGGTCTTCCACGCGGTTCATTATGTAGGGAAAAATCACCAGACCGAAATTTTTCAAACCAACGCTGCACTTTTCGATCGTTAACAATATTCTCCTCAAACACCTGGTTTCTATTGTGTGCAGCTTTTGCAGCAAGTTTATACTCATATAAAAAAATTACACGAATATCGATTGAATTCATATCCTTACGAAATTCAAAACAAATAACAAAATGGAACACTTTTGCGAAAATCTTTGTTGAAATGTGACTCTGGCAATGGACAGTACGACTATAAACGAGGTTATGCCAAAAACAAAAGCATAACGAAAACAGGGAGACAAACGTTACATGTAAAGAAAATCCGACATTTCATATGCACCAACCTAATACAATGCTATTATACGTGATCCGCTCCGACGCTTCATACATCTTTATTTATTTATGATATATTTTTCATGGCCTGACTGCAAAATCTAGTTCTGTAGGTTTCTCGGGAATAGTTCAAAGAAGATGCTATAATAATTTGGCGGTGAAACATATTGTCAAGGAGGTGAAATTTTGCATCTCCTACAATGATTTTTCGACTGATTCGCTCCAACGCCTGGTATGACGAACACTTTATTTATATATTATAAATTTTTGACGACTGGATTGCAAAATCCGGCTTTGTATCTCGGGAATAGAACGAAGAAGATGCTGCAACAATTTGGTAATAATACCGTCAAAGAGAGTATCGTCAAAGAGACGAAATATTGCATCTCGTAAATTGATATTTCGAGTGATTCGCAGCGACGCTTGGTACAGCGGACGCTTTATTAATGTATTATAAATTTTTGACGGCCGGATTGCAAGATCTGGCTCTGTAGGGTTCTCAGGGATAGTTCAAGGAAGATACCATAATAATTTCGCGGTTATATATATTGTCAACGAGGCAATATATTTGTTCTTGTAAAATTGTATTCCGCCTGACTCGCTGCGATTTGGTACAGCTGACGCTTTATTTATGTAATAAATTCTTGATAGCCTATTTGTAAAATCTAACTCTCTAGAGATCTCGGAAATAGTTGTAGGAAGATGCTATAACAAGTTCATGGTCATATATTATGTCAATAAGGCAAAATATTGCTTCTTGTAAAATGGTATTCCACCTGACGCGCTGCAACTCCTGGTACGGCTGATGCTTTATTAATATATATTATAAATTTTGGACAGCCGGATTGCATAATCTGGTTGTGTAATGTCCTCAGGGATAGTTCAAGGAAGATGCTATAACAGTTTAGCAATTATACGTATCGTTAACGAGGCGAAATTTTGCATCTCGTAAAATAATTTTTGGAATGATTCGCTGCGATGCTTGGTATGGCGGACTCATTTATTTTTCATAAACTTTGGATGGCCAGATTGCAAAATCTGGCCCTGCAGGGACCTCGATAATAGTGCACGGAATATTCCATATCTATTTGGCAGTTACATATATCGTCAACGAGGCGGAATATCTCTTCTTGTGAAATTGTATTCGCGTGATCCGCCTTGACGCTTGGTGCATCTTTATTTATTTATGATAAAAGTTAGACGGCCTGATTGCGAAATCTGGCTTTATAGAGACCTCGGAAATAGGTCGAGAATTATGTTGTAACAATTTGGTGGTAATATATGAGTGCAACGAGGCAAAATATCTTTTCTTGTAATACGGTATTTCACGGACTCGCTGCGATGTTTCGTACGACGCTCGCTTTATTAAAATATTATAAATTTTCGACGGCTGGATTGCAAAATCTGGCTCTGTAGGAACTTCTATAATAATTCAAGGAATATTCTATATAAATTTGGCTGTTACATATATCGCCAACAAGGCGGATCTCTTCTTGTAAAATGGTATTGTACGTGATCCGCTCCGACGCTTCATACATCTTTATTTATTTATGATACATTTTTCACAGCCTGCCTGTAAAATCTGGCTCTATAGGTTTCTCGAGGTTAGTTCAAAGAAGATGCTATAACAATTTGGCGGTTAAATATATTGTCAACGAGGTGAAATTTTGCATCTCCTACAATAATTTCTCGACTGATTCGCTCTAACGCCTGGTACAACCGCTGGCTTTATTTATATATTAGAAATTTTTGACGACCGGATTGCAGAATCCGGTTTTGTACCGATCTCGGAAATAGTACGAAGAAGATGCTGCAACAATTTGATAATAATACGTATCGTCAAAGAGATGAAATATTGCATCTCGTAAAATGATATTTCATGTGACTCGCAGCGGTGTTTGGTACGGCGGACGCTTCATTTATTTTTCATAAATTATGGACGGCTGGATTGCAAAATCTGGCTCTGTAGGCTCGATAATAGTTCAAGGAATATTCCATATCAATTTGGTGGTTACATATATCGTCAACGTGACAAAATATCTTATGTTTTACAGTAGAAGCTGGAAGGTATTCATACACATACACACGGCAAACTTATGCACTGCTCATATATACCCTAATGCTAATGTATTGCTCGCGCGAACGCAAGGCAGGAAGGTTAGGTCATATAGACTGCACCATAGTGCAGCTAGGCTACACTTTCCGTGTAGCATATTTTGCCACGCAGACATCATATTTGCTTATCAGACTTACATAGGCATCATTCTTATATTAATATCTAGGTCGATACAGAGCCCGATTTTACATTTAGGTTCTTGAAAATTTGTAATAAATGGAATTATAGGCTCGTGCTGCACCGCGAGATGCACTTTCATTCAAAATTTTTATTCGATTTTTATTTAGACCTTTTTTCCAAAAAAGCGTTCTGTACGAGCGTGCGGACGTTCCTCCTGATTACAAATATCATACATATAAGGTGATTCTCTTCATATTTTGTTCATAATTTGCAATATAATTTTGCCTAGTTCGTGGGTCTTCGCAAGAGGTTTCTAGTAGGCACCTGTAGACCCTTAACTCGTTGTATGATGCAAGCAACATACTTGATAATATGTCTGATAACGTGAGTTTCAATGTAGCTAATGACGCTATGTATATTAATAATAACAATCAATCTAGCAAATATATGGAAGAAGAATATATTATATATGAAACATTAGATGATGATTTGGAGGGAATTACAGGAATACATAATATATATGTCGTAAATATTTCAATAAACAAAAAATAACATATACTTTATGATATAGCAATGTAAATGTCAAATCTCATAATTAAGTTTATAATTAATAACTAATGTGTTATTTATAGGATCCTAATACAAACACATCATGCAAGGAAGACATAGTAAAGAGAACAAAATGTACATCAAATTGGAATACATATACTCCAGAGAAATTAAGAGCAGCTAAATACACATTATTAAAAGTAAGAAAAAGTAATGCCTCAGAAAATAAAGAAAATAAATCAAATTTATGTCAAAGTACAGCACGACGACGTAGACCATTGACAATGGCTTTAAACAGTTCTCACATTTCTAAACAATATAGTGATTTGGCACAAGTTAAATTGAAACTTGCAAAGTTGCAGTTGATAGCTGTAAAAGAAGAAATGGAGACAAAAAATAAATAAAACGAAATAGAAATAGAATTTGAATTAAAGAAAAAAAGTTTAGAATTAGACATACAACTGAAGCAAGCACAGTTGAAAAAATTGCAAAGTTCCCTTCTTTAATAATCTTTTTCCTAATATATTTATTAAAAGACTGATACCAGGTATGACAAAATATTATTACCAGTTATTAATTGGTGGTCTTCCACTAGTTTCTATGACACTTTGTGTTTTTTTTCTGTTTTTTTCATCTTTCTCTTTTTTCGATTCTATATTTTTGTACTTGTTAATAATCAGGAACGGGAAAGTTACTTAAAAGGCGTGAAAAAAAATAAAGTTTACACAATTATTTTTCCAACCCAAATTGAAGATTATGCTTTTATGAAGAACTTGAGTGATTTATTTACTACATCAGATTTTTGTGCAGTCGCAATATCGAACTCGCTGATACGCAGAATTGAGAAAATAACTGTGTAAATTTTACTTTTTTTACACCCTTTGAGTAACTTTCCTATTCCTGGTAATAATATAAGTAAAACGTAATATTAGGTTAAAGAGTTATATGAAAACTTATATTACAAAATATAATATATATTACATAAGTATATGTTTAGTTTAAAAAATATGCCAAAGAAGAGTTTCTAGTATTGTTCTTTTAATATTATTTATTGTTATTTTGTGTTGTCAAAAAACAATATTATTTTTATGTGATACATGTGCAATAAAAAATATGTTCGTAAATAAAAAAAGGTGGTATTATAAAACCAATCCTTCATATTTTTACATGTGTATTTATTATATAAGTAATAATACTGTTATTTATTACACACAACAGTAATACAATTTTTTATTACATGAGTAATGTAGTAATTTATTATAAAAATAATATAATTATTTTTAAATGTGTTTTATAGCATACTGGTGTTTAAGTTGTTAAAATATTCATTAATTGAAATATTACGTGCTACTAGACCAGCATTTCCTGCTTGATTTTGAGGATGAGGAAGGTTTATTACATTATTATCTACAATAATATTTTCTAAAATATTTGCATCTTCATCATCAGTAGGAGGCATGTCTTCCTTTCGACGTTGTGCTATATTATGCAATACAGCAGTTGCTATTATTATTGTCATTACTGTTCTGATCTTTAAACGACTTCCATATGCTAATATTGGAAATCTACGTTTCCAAATACCAAATGTGTGTTCTACTACGGTTCTTGTTTGAATTTGTGACTGGTTATATAATTGTTGGGCACGACTTTCAGGGATTAATAACGGTGTAAATAAATAAGGTTTTGCAGGATATGCACTATCACCTGAAAGTATGTTTAACTATAATAGTATGAATAAATAATTATGATAAAATAATTACACACACACACATACACACTCCGTCGTGTAATCACATGTAGAATAGAGTATACATTATTTTATCGTTAAAATCATACCTAATAATAAGCAGTTGTGAAAATAGCGTGTTTCAACTAGCATTCTTAAATTACTGTTCTGAAAAACTGTTGTTGAATCGTGAACTGAACCTGGCCATCGAGCTACGATGTCAATTATTTCTTTATTAGCATTGGCCACAACTTGTACATTTAATGAAAAGTATGATTTTCTATTTCGAAATATTTCTGCATCATCACTACCTATTTGTAAATTTCATACACAAAGCAATGAATGTATATCTTTTTAAACATATAAACATATAAATTATATATTTATAAAACATACTTACAATATTATAATATACCTGGAGATTGTATTTTTACATGTGTACAATCAATAGCACCAATTACTCTTGGAAATGCAGCAATATTGTAAAAATTTCTTTGAGCTTGTGAAATTTTTTCTTGTGTTTGTGGTAACTTTATATAAATATATGCCAAAGAAGCTATAGCTTTAGATACTCTAACAATTATTCGTGATACAATTGATTTGTTCATTCCACCATAGTCCCCATTGTTATTAAAACACCATTCGTTGCATAAAGACGTAAAGTAATCAATAATTGTTGCATTGGTGTTACCAAATTATTTCTGTGATATTAACAAAAATATTGTTGTAAAATTAAAACCAACTAACCTATAATGTTATATATATTTAAAGATTATACATCTAGAATTAATAGAAATAAGACATTTACCTATTATGTGTATATTGTAACTGATTTTCAATCTGTTCTAATATATTTATAACAGATTCTTTCCTTAACCTAAATCTTCTAAAAAAATTTAATTCCTCATACTCTGCAAAATAATTATTACGCATATGTACATTTCGCGGTATTCCGTAAACAATTAACTCGTATGCGTCTAAATCGTCATCTTCTAGCATATCGTAATCTATATCCATTTTTCTTGTTTAAGTAATTAATAGGAATACTTCTTTTTTCTTTTCCTTATTTTCTCTTGACCATTCAAAACTAACCGCTCTACGCGCCAACGATGCGTGAGCAGTAAAAATCGACCAATGATGTGCTACAACAGCGATTTCTTTTCCTTAAACCTGTGGGGGTCACCTGTCCTATGCACGGCCGAACGCCGCTGGGGGCATAGGCGACCGCCCACGTAGCGCCAAAGGAACGCGACACTCGCGTCCTGGTGCGTGTTCAGGAGTGGATCGTGAGGGTCCTTCACCCCCGCGCGAAAAACAATAATTGTGCAATGGGGTTCACAACATCGTCTTTATTGAAATCCCCTCGCAAGGGGGAACGCTCTTACACTACTAACGACTTACTATCTACACTAACGGCCGGCTGCGCACAGCGCGACCGGACTGACCAAAGCAAGAGGCGCGCGAAACGCAGAACGCGCTAACAAGATTCCACACGCGGCGAAGAACACGACTTTCACGCCGGCGCCATGCGCTTTTCGGTTACATCGCATGGACTGAAGGGTCACCTGAGCACACACTAGGTGCACGCACGAGAAACGAGCACGTGCACAGCTCGGAACCTGACGCAAAACAACAACGAATCGCGATCACGCGACGGCGCGCGTGGCCTCGACGGCCCGGCACGCGGCGTGCGCGTGATCGGCTCAACCGGCGGAACCCTCGAACGGGCCCGGAGGGGTGCACACGTGGAAACGCACGCAGAGATGCACACGCGGAAACGCACGCAAAGCGACGCACACGCGGAAACGCACGCAAGGCGATACACACGCGGAAACGCACGCAGAGGTGCACACGCGGACACGCACGTAGAGGGGTGCACACGCGGAAACGCACACAGAGGTGCACACGCAGAAATGCACGCACGAACACGAAACTGCACCCGAAAGGCAACGAGATCACTACGGGACTCGTGAAAAATGTCGCACTAAAAAGAAGCTACTATGCCCGCACAGAAGTCACGACTCAAACGTGCGAACTTGGCACGCGGTCGCACAATACACTAAATTCAAAACAGCGCCCTCGGCTGGAGAATCTGCTTACGGCGGCTCGCCTGCTGATTCTCCGTCGGCGTTGAAGATGGCGGGAGCGGCCCGACCGCCACAAACCTTTTTAAGCGGTACTAGAATCATCGCTTAATATAAGTGCAACTTAAACCATTATAAGTATTACTTATACTTTGGTGCAACAAGTTTATAGTTTTAAGTTTTACTTAAAGCTAAAATAACGTTGGTGCAACCAGGCCTAAGTCATGTTTATTTATGCCAACAAATGGAATATTTTGTTTCGAGTTCAAAATTTTGTATGTTTAACGATTCTGCATCCTACGTTATACATCACAACTTTACGAATTTCATAGGCTCTTTTCACAGAAACACTCTTCTCATAGGAATATAGAGAATATTCATACAAGTATATACAAATAGGTGTATATTGCACTTACAAACATTTTTTATGATATGACGTAAACTGTAGGTTACAAAAAATTGCTGATTATTATTGATGTAAATAATACCTGATTTTCAGGAATATATGTAAATATATTTTCAATTTATAACTGTGTTGTATGTATAATAGTTACAGATGTAACGGTAACGCCCGGGGGGTTCGGTGCGATCGGTCGCACACCGTCGCGCCTGGCTCGTCGCTCCCGCGACGCTTCGCTCGCCGCCGCACTGGTGCGTCACTCGGGTGAAGGAAGGGGGGTTTGCTTGAAAGAATTCGTACTCGGGTTCCGTACGGTGTAATATTTGGTGCGCCCCGCGAGGCGCCCCGTTTATTTAAAAGATGTTCTATTCTATATATGTGTATGGGGTAGGCTCGTTGGTTCGGTGTAGCGCCAATGATGCGCGTTCCTCCGTACTCGTAATTCCCCCGTTTAGCCGCGAGGAACGGTTCCTTATCCGCGGGGTCCGAGAAGATGTCTTGCTGCCTCTTAGTGGTCCGTCGTCCTCGGCCACGAGTCCTGTTGAAGACGGATTACACCCGTGGTTCTCTAGATAGATTTTGGAGATGGGTTATTCCCGGTGGCTTACCGCGGTCAATACTGACGCACGAGCACTGTCACCTCTGCACACCCCGAATATGGAAAATTTGTCTGCATCGGTGGCTAATTGCTGCCGATGCCGACGGACGAGCACGTATACATCCGCGAACAGATATTTATAAATATTCTGTGCCGGTGGCTAACTGCTGCCGACACAGACGGACGAACACTTATATTCGCGCACAGGAATTAGAGACTATTCTACGTCGGTGGCTAATTGCTGCCGACGCAGACGGACGAGCACTTATATTCCGCGAACAGATACTTAGAAATATCCTGTGCCGGTGGCTAACTGCTACCGAAACAGATGGACGAGCACGTATAAATTCGCGAACAGATACTTAGAAATATTCTGTGCCGGTGGCTAACTGCTGCCGACACAGACGGACGAACACTTATATTCGCGCACAGGAACTTAGAGACTATTCTACGTCGGTGGCTATTTGCTGCCGACGTAGACGGACGAGCACTTATATTCGCGAGACGGTGGCTAACTGCTGCCGTTCTTTTGGAAACAGAAACTTAGTCTAATTCGGCGCGGCGGCTAACTGCTGCCTAACGTCGAAGAACGAACACTTAGAAATCGCGGAACGGTGGCTAACTGCTGCCGTTCGTTCGGAAACAGATACTTAGTCTATGTCGGCGCGGCGGCTAACTGCTGCCTAACGTCGACGGACGAGCACGTATAAATCCGCGAACAGATACTTAGAATTATTCTATGCCGGTGGCTAACTGCTGCCGACACAGACGGACGAATACGGTAAATTCGCGAACAGAGACTTAGAAATATTCTGTGCCGGTGGCTAACTGCTGCCGACACAGACGGACGAATACGGTAAAGTCGCGATGCCGGTTGGCTGACGAGGCTCGGCTGCCGGGTCTTGTAAAATTTCCCGGTGGTTCGGTACGGTGTGGAAGCTTTACTCACCGGCGGATGCCTTGCCTTCTCGTTGACTTCTCTTCACGGTTCTCGCTGGAGCTCTCCTCGGTAGCTGATCTGACTGACTGACTGTCTCTCACGGTCTGCCTCGATCTCTGCTCGAGAGCGGGTTTTATATCCTTAATTCCTCTCGACGATCGGTAGCCGATAATCGGGGGACTAGTTCCTCCCGATTTCTCGGAAATTCGCGCATGCGATTTTCGCGAATTACCCCTTCTGTGGGACCGATCTTCCCCGACCGTTTCGCCGAATTCGGCTTTTTCCGGCGGTATATCGGGTTGCCGCGGCACAAGTGTTCGGTGCTGCCGGGGGCGCACGGCGGTGTTCGCTCGTGTGACGACCGGTGGTCGTCGCCACATGACAGTAACGAGGGCAAACTACTCCTCGTTACACAGAAAAAATTTAATATGACCTACGAAAAGAAAAATGACATATGGACAGGCGCGGGAGGGCCTCCCAAACATCGCGCCAGAAGTAAGTCACTGTGAGGTTTTAGCCGGTAAGAGTCCGGCACTACCCCAGCAAGGAGCCAGGGTGTCCATGAGGATTTCCCCACATAAAAAAAAAATATATAAATAAATGGAAAGAAAGGTAACGCCGATCTACATGCAATGTTAATTCATGCAAGTCTATCAACGCAGCGAGTCGAAATCGATTGCTATTAATCGTCCCCTCGTCGAATCCACGCCGAAAGACAAACATCAGCTTCGACTGCGTGTCGAGACAGAGCGAGATGGAGCGAACACATTCTCTGTCTCTCTTTTCCTTGGCTCGTCGAAACAAGTCGAGCGGAGGGCGGGGTCTCAGACGAAGTGTCATCGACGAAACGTGCAATGCTTGCGATGCCCGTATGTTGTATGCAACACGTGCATTTTCCTAAAAAATGAAAAAAAAAGATTGGCGAAAAAGACAACGCCGACCGTCAAGAGGACGCGAACCACCGACCTCAAACCCCGCGAGCCCGGCGCATTTTCAATAAGCCACACACTCTTTGAGAAACCTGTTCCTTCATTTGGTTCATGAAGCACTCGCGATTTTCAATCGCGACTTTCTTGCAAACGCTTCAATGCTACGCCGTATCTTTAAGTGCAATGTTAATTTGTCATGCAAATCTATCGACACAACAAGTTTGATCGAAATCGATTGCTATTGATCATCTCGTTGGATTCACGCCGAGAGGGAAACGTCAGTCTCGGCCGTGTGTCGGGACGAAGCACAATCTCGGCAACGTTGCGAATCAGAGCGAGATGAAGCGAACACATTCCCTCTCTCTCTCTCTCTCTCTCTCTCTCTCTCTCTCTCTCTCTCTCTCTCGCTTGGCTCGTGAAAACAAGCCGAGCGGAGGGCGGGACCTCAGACGGATAGACGGGAGCAGTTTCTCTCTCTGTGCATGCGTGCGTGCGTGCGTGCATCATTTGAATATTCGAATTAATATTATGTCACGACATAATAATAATTCCAATATTCTGATTATATCGGGACATAGTAATAATTCTGAATTTCTGTTATGTACATAATAATAAATCCCAATTTCTATTATGTACATAATGGAAATTCAGAATTATTATTATGAAGTGGCATAATAAAAATTCGGAATTATTATTGTCCCAACATAATAAGAATACCGGAATTAATATTATGTCATGACATAATAATAATTATTTTTGTACATTCTTATCATGTACTTATATAATTATAATTCAACGTATTACATTTATACCTTCGCATAATAGTAATTCGGTGAATTATAATTATGTCGGGACATAATAGAAATACGGTATTTTTCTGATGTGGACACATAATTATAATTTGCTGAATTATTATTATGTCGTGACATAATAATATTTCAAAAGGCTGAAACATAATTTTTATGTAGCCATTTTTATGTTGTACTTTTACATTATGCTGAATATCTTTTATGCCATTAAAAAGTAAAACAGCGTGCCATACATTAAAGAAATACAATTCTGCAATATACAGGCTTCATGTAGAATCAAAAGTTTCAACTTGGGATATCCCAAATAAAATTAACTTAGTCCATTTATAAAATTGAAACAGCAGAAAACTATTACTGCAAGAACATCTTTTTCTGTTGCTTATTATAATGATTTTGCTATTAGTAAAGTAAAAAATATATTAACGGAATACTTTTTACGAAACAGAAAATATTTAATTTAATTTGGCAATCTATTTTTTTGCATATTAAATAATTTTTATAAATTAATAACCATGCTTTTTTAAGGAAAATGCATATATATTGGCCAAGAGTGGATTTCTATTCTTTACTTTTTACATTCTTTCTGTTTTTCATTTCTTCATTTTTTATATTTTTTATATGTAAAGAACTTTAATGCGACAATTAATTAGGGCAATTCATTGAGTAGGAAGAGAACGCACGCGCGAGAAGGATACGCGACCGGCGAAATACATTGAAGACGCCTAGGCATCATTTTCACGGCTGGCGCGTTAGCTATAGCTAATAGATTGTGAGAGAAAGAGAGCAGCGTCGTCTGCACTCTTCCACCTTTCGAACTTAGCCGAAGCGCCGAGTGCTATAGTTAGTGACGGGCAGGCTTACGTACACGGTAGTTTGCTTGTGTACGCGCCGCTGCACGCACTGTAGCTATGCTGTTTGGGTCCTGAAACTGGCATC